GTTAATGTATTCTCCTTGTGTAAAAAACAATAAATCGTCCTTTAATGTATCTAATTCACTTTTAAATTTACTAATGTTTTCCATTTGTACTTCTTGCCACTGTTGTTGACTTTCCTGTAGTTGCTGCTGACTTTCCTGCAACTGTTGGAGACTTTCTTCCTGTTTCCTTTCTTGTTCTAGTTGCCACTGCAGTAATCTCTCTACACAATTGGCTGTCTGTGCTCTGCCAACCACAGGTATCAAAACCCAGTTTCTAGCATTGTAATTCCACAGACATACTGCTGTGCCACAGGGCGGCATAATCTTAGCTACTGAACTAAAAAAATGAAAATAAGATTCAAATAATTTTATATATAATTGTTAAATATTTGGTTGTACTTTCTAACATGCATAATATATATACATATTTGAGCATTGGTCTTTAAATTTTAAATTCATCTATGATATGGATGATCAGCTACCATTTTTGGTTTTTCTTCAGTAAATGAAGGATTTTAACTTAATTTTGATTTCAAGTGTTTGTCTTTTCCTTTTACCAGTGATAAACCACAACACCTTTCTTTCAACATATTAGATCCACAAATCTCATATTTTACAGAGACAAAGTGACTGTGAGCTAGAAGCATCTTTGAATTACCACATAAACATTAACATATACTGTCATTTCATTTTGTCAGTTGACCATTTGCAGCTTCTCAAGTGCAGAAGATTAAAAGGAATCAGTTATTGCTCTAAAATTAATGATTTAATATGTTTTAAGTTTGTTCTAATGCATATACAGTGTTGGTACATTATATTAAAACAATTTTGAAGCTACACCACATCATTAAATTCCATTTTGCCATGTTTAGTCATGCTCTAGCCAATGACCATGTATCTTTAGAAATAGCACTGCTGCATACTTTCCATTGCAAAAGCACTCAATTCTGAGGCTGTCACATTCAAAGTACATCATTTCTCCATGTTGGCTTTCCATAAACCATCTAGTGAATGAAGTCAAGGATTTCCTGGTGCTTGGTTCAACGGTCCAATTGCACAGAAATCCATAAATGGTGTGTCCAGCAACTTTGCTGGTTTTTCTTTGTACGAAATAGCATGAATACCTATTTCATTCTCCAGCTGCTTGAGTTATGCAACAGTTAAATGAGAGGTATTGACTGGAAGCTATTTCTTGGTGAACCCATATACTGTTGGTCTCGTTTCCATACAAAGCCAGTATTTCTGTGTGGAATAAAGAGTCCAGAACATTAGTCTGATAATAAGCAGAGTCTTTCTTGATCTTTGTATTCACTTTCTTGATCCCTAACTTATCCCTGGAGCAGTATATACCAATGATCATGAATTCCTTCAAAACATGCAACAACATTCTGTGTACCACATTTAGAAAACATTTTCACCCACTGACCAGTAGAAAATGGCACAAATAGTTTAATATTTATCAAGGTACAAATATACTTCATCTCAAGGCACCACATACTGCCAGTTTTTTTCCCATCTAGGTACCATTCATACAGGTGATCCCTCCTGGATACAATGTGCAAGCAACTTGTGTCACTTTTCTGAATGGAGAACCTTCTAGATTATGTTGTGTATTGTTACATGGGTCATGTGGACAATTTTTCCTACTGAGTTACGTGTTCAGATTATTACCTGTTACAAGATGCCACAATTTGCTTATCAAGGCTGGGGTACGACTTATTACATGTATCTTTCTGGATGGAGTTAGTTCCTAAAGTTCATCTATATTCCTGCATTTTTCCTTAATGCCATTAAGTACACGAGATATCCCAGTCTTGGTAATTCTAAATTCCCTTTCTGGACACATATTTATTATCCGAGCATATGAATACTTTGTATAGAAAGATTTGTTACATACCTTTCCCAACTACTTGTATGAACATGGTTAAATTTGATCAGTGTGCCAAACAGTTACTACAATAATTGTTAGTTGCTCCAAAGACATTTGTACTTAAATACAGTAATTGATTGTCAGCAGATAAGTTAGTTCATCATACACTTTGGATTCAGTATAATGTATATAATACAATATGTGGTTACTACAGTAACTGACTGTCAGCAGATAAGTTAGTTCATCATACACTTTGGATTCAGTATAATGTATTTAAAACAATATGTGGTTACTACAGTAATTGGTTGTCAGCAGATAAGTTAGTTCATCATACACTTTGGATTCAGCATAACGTATTTAATTCAATATGTGGTTACTACAGTAATTGGTTGTCAGCAGATAAGTTAGTTCATCATACACTTTGGATTCAGTATAATGTATATAATACAATATGTGGTTACTACAGTAACTGACTGTCAGCAGATAAGTTAGTTCATCATACACTTTGGATTCAGTATAATGTATTTAATACAATATGTGGTTACTACAGTAATTGACTGTCAGCAGATAAGTTAGTTCATCATACACTTTGGATTCAGTATAATGTATTTAATACAATATGTGGTTACTACAGTAATTGACTGTCAGCAGATAAGTTAGTTCATCATACACTTTGGATTCAGTATAATGTATTTAATACAATATGTGGTTACTACAGTAATTGGTTGTCAGCAGATCATTTTGTCACATACTTTGGAATCAGTATAATGTATGCAACACATTTAACACGTAGTATTAGTATTTACCGTCCGAATGTAGTTTTTCCTTCATTAATAATCATCATTTTTTAAGCCAATTTTATAAGACGAGTTTCGGGCAAGAGACATTTTTAAATAATAGTTAAGAATAAAATACTAAAATGTTTATTCACAGTTAAAATGTTTATATTTCCATACTCCAAAGTATACTTTTCTTCCCCGAACCATTTTTGTATTTACATTATAATTTGTGTTTCAGTTACACACACACATACAAAATATAGCATAACTGGCTAAGAAACAAGTAAGGCTTGAGCTTGAAATGAGCACTTTAAAAATATTACAGTACATTCACTTCACTGGATTTTTGATATGTATGTAACACAAATGTAAAGAAACATTACTTAATGAAACCCAGTGACAGATTTTATAATTGATCTTAACTGATTATTTAATTTGTGTATTATTCAATTTCTTTCCTATGTAATTAAAAATTAAACACTAAAAGAAATGTCTAAGAAGTGATAAACCAAACATTTTCAAAACTTGTGCTTTTTTTAAATTAAAACAAGTCTGTTTCTACTTTCTAGAATCAGCTAGAAGGAAAATTATTTTGTTGTAGTTGTAAACCATGGATAATACAATTAGGTGACGTATCACTCCCTTTGTTCCTAACTTTTATCTACCATAATCATATAAAAGTGGCAGTAATTTGACTATTATGGCAGACTTATGAATGTATATTTGTTTTTCTCATTAAAATGGTTTTTTCTATGGCTTAATGATCTTTTTTTGTGATAGTTTCATTGAACTTACTGCAGTAATACATGCTTGCAACTTGATTCAGACAAAAGTGGCTAATGTAAACCAGAGAAAATCACCTACATTTAAACATTTTGTTCATGTTTTGAATATTGACTGAAACATCATAATATTTTATAAACACTGTAACTTCATATTTTGTATTATAAAATGCACCTTTTAATGCATAGAAAAGTTGTGTCTACTTAGGGCCACATTAATCAATAGACAGGGCAGGTACTTGCCTATATGTCCACAGTTCCAACACACCATATGAGGGTTCATGGTTCACATCCTATTGCTGCTAGAATGCACTCCTCACATTGGGTCTGCAAGTGCTCTTATAGAAAGTGACAGCCAAATCCTACTATTCAATTAGAGTAATCCAAGAGTTGTCTGTGGAAACTGTTAACTACCTGCTTCCTTTCTTGTACATTTCAAAATTAGGTACAGCTAGTCCTTGTATAATAGTTTTGTGTAAACATTTTGAAAAAAATAAATGGCACACAATGGCTATATTTATGTCTGCCCCTCCCCATCTCTGAACTACTTGACAGAGTTTGCATCCAGTCAACACTTCTTCACTTTATGTGGATTCAAATTAATATGTACAAGAGTGATTAGAATCCTTCAATTATAAGTTACAGACCAATTCAATTATTATCTTTCTGTTTTGATCAATTATATGTTGTTGTAAATAGTGTACACGTAATACAATTGCTTCTAAGACATGGACACATACACTTTGAACTATCAGAAATGACATTTAAAAACAGTTTATAAAAAGGATGGGTCTCTAGCAGTTGTGGTTTTTGGAAACAGGTAGGAAAATGTACTTTTTCAAATACCTTTTTCAGATAATTTTTAGCCACAGCTCCGAGTTTTTTTGTCAAGTGCAAACTTTTAGCTCGTAACCGATTTGAGATCTAATTACAGTTTTGGGCTCAGAAGGTCAAACCCTTTGGACTGACGTATTTGACCATGCCCAATGTCTCATAAATTAATTTACTCTAATCCTGCCTGAAAGAATTTCAATTTGAGGGTAGGCTGGTAGAGATAATGAGGAGTAATAAAATTGAATCAGGTATATGTGCACTCCACACTTGATATTGCTGGCACATAAAAATATAGCTAATAAAAAGGTCTCATAGATTAACTAACTCTCATCTTTACCAAAAGAATTTCAAGTTGCCAGAGTTATTGCGGATTCCCTTTTGTTTAAATTGAAAACTTTAGTTTTTTTTAAAAACATTTTGATTTTGTGAACTGTTCTTATGGATAATGTTTCTATGAAAAAAAAAACCTTGTGGGGAAGGGAGAACCTACACAACTGAATTTTCCTATGAGCTTAATGTGGTCTTAATTTGACCCCGTGTATATTGTAATTTTACACGATTAAAACCAAAATGTATCCAGTAGAGTTAAAATTCAATAATGGTAGTGTTCACTTAAAGTTAATACATAATTCTGCTTCTCTGAGAAGTTATAACACCCTTTAAAGCTAACTGAATTCTGTTTCAAAACTTAATTCTGTACAACTAATCAAAAATTCCATGTCACATTCATATGAACATTTAATTCTTCTTTATCACAAATACAAGAAAATTTTTTTGTCTATATTAAAGAAAACGAATATTGAATACACAGAACATGTAAAAAAAAAGAACAACCACCCTCAAAACTTGCACACTATAAATGGACAATGTCAACATTTAAAAAAATTATGATGTATTTGAAAACATCTTGTTCTCACAAAACCCACATGGACACTTTTTTTTTTAATATATATACATGGAGTAAACAATTGTATATAATTTCTTTATAACAATGATGGGAAATTAACTTCTTCCTATCAAACCACTGCTTGATTACTTGTGGCTCTCTCTGCTGGCTGCTCAATAGGTTTCTCAGTGTCATCCTAAGAAGTAATAAAAGTGTAAATAAAATGCAAGTTTCTTTTCAGCATTATAAAAGATTGCTATCCATACTTCACAGTGATTTATGTCTATGGTAAATATTCTTATTCAACTTCCCAACCTCTGATCAACACAAACTTTTCAAGGTTCTTGAGCAAGTCTCTGAGTATTACTGAAACCCTTTACTTAATTTACTCGCTACTTTTTACAAGTTTCACAGTCATTTGAATTTTTTCCCCTTGTTACAACTATAATACATATTTTCAATAGTCTGCCATGAAAATTTCAGGGGTTCTTAGGTAAAGTACAGAACTTCAGGACACCTAGAAGTACAAGTTAAGTAAACTAAAAATTGTTAAACTAACCAAGAGAAACTGACCAGTAAGGAGTGAATTTCTAGAAATATTTAAATCTTTCTGCACGGTCATCCTTTATTGTGTATGTCACGAGGTTTTAGTGACTTACATTAAAATTTTAATTAAGCTACTTTTTGTTTATGTTATACCAATTAGTATAGCATAAACTTGTAGCTAATAATTCATATTTTAATAGTATATACCTTTTAAATTCATAATTTTTATAAGGCAATATTTTATAAAATCTTGAAATTTCCCTAGTGTGAGAAATGTGCCATATTTTCTCTAGGCATTCCGTCTTCTCTATTTTATTCACCCCAGCCCCCCAATAAGTATGAAATTTGACATAAATTACTAATTATAAAATACTCTCTTTTAGGATTTGTTAATAGTTCTTTCTTACGTTTACTTCTATATTATCTATAACCAATAGAAAGCCAAGGTTTTCATCTATAAAATGACATATTATATAATGTTGTTTTGTGAACAGAGAATTGTCATTTTCTCTGTTAGTACAAGCTTTGATCCTATGCTAAAGATAATGACTAGCTTGGATGAATTTGTAACGGCTCTTGTTGCAGTTATAAAGCCAGACAAATTGTGATAGTTAAAGGAAATTGTCTGCTTTTTACATGTTATTATTCTATGTTCGTTGGTACATTATATAATTAAATAAAATTATTTAATTATATAATTAAATAAAATTATTTAGACCGTCACTACCATTGGTACAAAAAAAAAGAAAAAAGTAGGGTTATGCATTGTCAACAGCAAAAAAAAACAACACAGAAATGGGTAATGTAGTTTGAAAGCATAACATGATCTCCTCGTTGTTTCCAACTTAAAATGATGTAAATAGTAGTTAGATATGGTTCAAAGGGCAATAAAACAATAAAATTTAAATACAAACAGACGTACACTGTTATGAGTTTAAAGCTATTTATAATAAATGAATGTAGTTTCATGTTACAAATTAAGTCATTCTAGAAAGAGAAAAATGGTAATTTAGATTTATTTTGATTTTCTGTTAGGTGGTTATGAGGTCAGTCAAACTGACCAGCCTTGTATAGAGTTAAAGTAGAGAAAATAACAAATAAAATATAAAGTTCTACTGAAAACAAACACTTGAAACATATTTAGGAGATTTTAGAAATTATGCAAATGAAATTTGAGATTTTTGAGATGAAGAAAAGTATTTTTAATCTTAGCATGAAAATCATTTTGCACTCAGACTAGTCGAAAAATATGATTTTTTGTATGTGAAAAACTTATTATGTTTTCTGAAAGTCTGCTAAATTTTGTGAAGACGTACATGCTATATTAAAAATTAGTAGTAACAAAACTATAAAAACTTTATTAAACAAGTACAAAGAGGTTACATAGTTGGTCAAATTCACCGAGCCCATGTTGAGAGAGTAAAGCCAACATCAAGTATAACTGTCCCACTATCCCATGAAATAAATGCTGTGCAAGGTGTGGGAACCATTGCTAATAATTACTAAACTAAGTACTTAAGGCCTTGTGTTTTCTGTCCCTCACTGATTAAATTGCTGTATACTTGACTAAAACATCTGGTATTATATTGTACAAGTGTGCACAAAAATGGTAAAAATAGTAGATTAAATAACATAATACTTTGATAGTTCATAATTTTATATAAATTGAAGAATGTCTTTTATGTAACAAAATCAAAATATAATTGGGATAGTGTTACTCACTAATTCTTTTCATTTCTATCCTTAATATACACTTACCATTTTACTTTGTACTTCATAATTTTTATCACCATTCAGAGCTGATTTACTTTCAATGTTTGTATGAGATTTCTTTGCTTGAAGATCACACGGTTTTTCATCTTCTGCTTTTCTCTGTTTTAATTAAACTTGAAATATGTTATTTTTGCAATATACACTACATTGTTTGAAAGTAATAAGTAAAAAATAATTAAAGTTACTTTTACTAAACACACACACACATATATATATATATATATATATATATACATATACATATAAATTTTTCTTCCACTTAATATTTTAAAGTTGAATTGATCACTTTTTAAAGAAACAATGTTTTTAATTTATTTAAATTATTGTATTGTCAATTCTACTACATTAATTTTGACTTGATTTTCTTAAAAATTATTACAGCATGAGACATTCTAGTTTTTGTACTAAATCCATAAGTATACAATTATAATGTTTGCTGTAAATGTTACAGTAAATATTTTGCCTAAAATATCATGTTAAAGTAATATTCATGGGAAGCAAGCAGCACAAATGTTACTGAATGGATGTTGTTCCACAAGATTTAAGAAAAAAACTAGGATAAATGATAAAATATAAACTGACATGTGTAAATTGAAACTTTTCTAGTATATTCTGTGTAATGTTTCAAGCATATGCCCTTCGTCAAGCACTAAAGACCTTGTTGTTTTCTTTCATATGAACAAAGAAACTTTTCTTGCATTTGCAATAAAGAAAAATTAAATGTTCATATGAATGTGACATGAATTGTTTTATTAGTTGTACAGAATTCAGTTAGATTTAAAGTGTTTTGTAACTTCTTGGAAAAGAAGAATTATGTATGAAGTTTAAATGAACAGTTTTAAAGAATAAAATGGTCTTTACTGCTTGACGAAGGGCATCTGCTCGAAACATTAAAAAAAATAAAGAAAAAGCTTTGATTTAGACATTTAAATTTATTCTTTATTAATATTTATCCAAGCATAAAAGTTAGTCTTGTTTAGGGTTACATAAACTCACTTGTGAATAATGTAAAAATTTTCATTTTAAATCAATGAAATTCTGAAATAACAGATTTTTAATATTTTATTCCTTTTGAATAATCCAGTTTAGTAGTCTTCTCTCAGATGATTATGGCATTTCTTAAAATTTAATCTACATTATCTTCATCATTAGGGAAATACACTGCAGTTTTAGTCAGTACTCACAATACCTGCTGGTTTTTAACTCCTTTAGTAGATATCAACACTCTCCAGTTGTTTCAGCTACAATCTTTTAGTTAATGGAAATAAAAAAAAAAATAACACATTTCTAATAATTTTGATGATAGTGGTGAAAACCCACAACAGTAAATAAGTAGATAATCTACACTCACCTTTCTCTTGACTAAGTGGGTAATGTTTGTAGTTGCTTTTGTAGGAGAAGTACTCTAGCAAACAAACACATAAACAAAATTATTTAATACTTATTCCCACTGCTTTAAAGTAAAATAATGAACTTAAAAACTAGGTGAATACAATACCATGTAAACAATGGGTTAAAATACTTTTTTCTATATCTAAAACAATCACAGGTTGTTTTTTCTTGTATGTGCAGAGCAGAAGTGTGGAAAATTAAAATTACTGTTTTTTAAAGTAACTGTTGTATTTAAAACCATTTGAGACAATGCTGCACCTTTGTTTTGAAATCAAAATCTTATATTTGGATTTTTATGAAAAAAAACTCATTCTCTTGTCAGGTGAATTTCCCTTAGTAAACATTAATACATTTATAACAATACTGTAGAAATTAAACACTCACCTGTGAACTACTGTCACCAGCTGCATTCAGTAAAGTTAACTCCTGCTGCAAAATAAAATTCAGTTTTCAATTGTAAATACAAAATACTTACACATATATACTATTTCGTAAGTATATTTTTATCAACTCAAAATTACATTTTTTGTGTTAAAGACAACATGCTCTACTGCACTTTATGTTGTATTTTATACCATTTCTAAACACATGAAATGTGTAGCTGTCACACATCCCTCTCCGGAGTACTAGTGTGAAAAACACTTTATACCAAGTGGCATGAAAATTAGTAAAAAGAAAAATGTGATTTGCAAAAACACAAGCTAGGCTCCATTTAATACTACTTTACAGGAGTTTAATGGGGAGAGTGGAATCAATGATTTCCTGAAAAGAGTGGGTTTAAATTTTTATTTTTCAGAAGGATGGGTATGAAAATACAGTCTTGAAGATACAACATGCTATTAATAAGTTGTAGGCCTAAGATGAAATTGTGTCACTTATTTAATGTGTTATTTGTAATAACAACATGGGGTTATGAAAAAGGAGAGTTTGGCTTTATTAACCCTTTAACCCGATCACTGCCGGTTACAACTTTCTGCATAGCCAATGCAAGTGTTGCTATATTTTGTTCCAACAATAAAACTAATGTATGAAGTTGTTTGAAACTTCATAAGAACTTTCATAAATGCATGTAGTTTAAGAAACATAAAGCTTGTTACTTTTGGTAAATTGTTTTTTCACATTATGATATTTAATATCTTGGAAATTACATTAGGAAATGGTATTTATAAGAACTGATTATATTTGTTCCAGATTTGAACTTCTTACTTTTTATGTTTTAGTATGTTATTTCAAAATCTCTAAAACTTTTTTTTATTGTCCATAAAATGCAAGTTTTGTTTATTTTTAATAATTCAATAACCACGTACTCTCCTTACAGTTTTGATTAATATACAAGACCAAAAATAATATTTCTAAGTAAACCTGAATAATAAAAGAGTATTTTTTTTATTTTTTAACTAGGATTTTATGTTTATATATGAATATAAAAAAAAAAAAACATTTTAATTTTGTTTCATAAATGTATTTTTTATTT